TGTGGCGCATCGCCGGAGGGTGTGATCGCGCCCCGGGAGTGGCCCGATTCCGTCGTGGATTGGCGCCAAGGTAGGCCTCGACATGGGGCCGTCCAAGCCTCGCGGGTTCCCGTGCCGCCGTCTTGTGCTGCCAACGGCGTCCAGCTGATTCAAAATGATGGGCTCGCCCCAAGCCGGGCTTCTTGCGAATCCCCCTCAATCAGCGGCGAGCAGAGGACACCGTAAAAGCAGCTCGCAGGACTCACGGCCTTGATCCGACACTGCAGCAGCAGCTCTTCGCCCTCCACTCTCGTCGGTCGAGATCGAAACCCGGCAACGCAACCGCGCAACCGCGCACCCGCCAGCAGCAGAAGCCATGGCGCACGAGCCGCCCACTTCCGTGGTGAACGAGTCGGCGACTACGCAGTCCGACCCATCGACTCCCGGTGTCAACAAGTCGTACGATACATTCACGCCGTTCGACCGCTTAGCGTTGGAGTTCAATGACGACCTCGAGTACGCGTCGATTGAGGTCTCGGAAAAGCAAACAAGAAAGATCCTAAAAGCAAAGCCGGAGAGGAAACAATACCTACCCGGGCAGCCTCGCATACGGCTCGACAAGAAACACGGGCACAATGTTGATGCCAACAAGGACCCCCTCCTCGACTATCTTGAGAAATGCCACAGCACCAAGGGGTTGGATGAGCTATTACCGTGGATGCGGTACATCTTCGTGCAGACGCCCTCGTACACCCACATCATGCCATTACACCACCAAAAGTCACACGCGCGCGAGATCAAGGTGTCGGAAAACCCTGGTCTGCACTTAGTTTGGTACTACGAGCTCATCTTCATCAAGCCCATTCCGGCTTACTTCTACTCGCAAGCCTTCTGGGTCTACCTCGAAAACGCCAATAAGGAACTCTATGGCGCCTGTCTCGGCTTTATCCGCAGCTATTACATGCTGATCCAATACGAGATTGATTTCCACGAAGCCTGCGAGCTGCGCCTGATCCCGGCTAAGGGGAACGGCGAGTTGCCAACGTACGAGGAGTGGTGCGAGTTCATTGAGCCGTTCGCACGGGTCGGCGACGCCCACGTCAACCGCCGCTACCACTACGGCGAGCTCCGCCTCACGCGCATCAACCGCGCCGCCATGCTGTTTAAGTTCAGCCTGGCCTACTTCCACATCTACCCCCAATGGGGCTCGTTTCTCGAACACACCCTCGCCCCCATCATCACCGTCTTCGCCGTCTGCTCGGTCGTGCTCAACTCGATGCAGGTCAGCCTGGCTGTCATGGAGGTCAAGGGAGAAGACTTTGCAATCACTGGGGCGTGGAACAGTTTTATGGATGCATCTTTGTGGTTCCCGGTCATCGTCAATTTGAGTATTGCGGTCATTCTCATTGCGTCGTTGTTTGGTATGGGCATCATGGGCCTGAAGGACCTGTTCCGTGGGAACTCGGTCCGGCGACGGAAGAAGAGGGGTGATCCCAGCGCGGGGACGCGGAGTCATGGCATGGTCTGGTAGTACCTGATCGTCTTTTACTCGGTTCATGTAATACACTCGTTCTGAGATATTTCGAGTATAATTTGGTCTCCTTTCTAGGATACCCCCGATGCGCTCCCTCAACCATCTAACTCCGCCCGTTGGACGCCAAACCTCTCCCCGATCGACACCCAACCCCCGACAACAACCAAAACTCTAAATGCCATGTTGTCCGCGTCGTCGCCGAACCCAGTGTCCAACGCCTTCTTCACAACCTCCCAGTCCACGAACCCGAGCTTCTCCACCGCTTTCTGCGTACAGATCTCCCGCATTTTCCTATGCATTGGCCCATCCCTGGGCCACTTGCTCGGGGCCAAGTACGGTTGCTTCCTCCGCTCGTACAGCTCCTGCGTGATGTAGGGCTTGCCCGCCTCGCGGAGGATCCATTTCTCCGTGAAGGAGCTGGTGATAATCCCGCGGGCGTCCCAGGGCGTGCCCGACTTCTGGGCCGCCGCCGCCGCCGCGGGCGTGTACGCCAGCTTGACGCTTGGCGGGAGCCCGTTGACGTACTCGGACAGCTCGTGGTCCAGGAACGGCGGCCGCGCCTCGATGCTGTGCGCCATCTCGGTGCGGTCCCCGAGACAGGTTAGCAGGTTGTTGGCCAGCAGCGTCTTGGTCCATAGGTATTGTGCTGAGTGCAGCGGGTGCCACGCCGTCCTGATCTTTTCCTTTGCCGAGGTTGGTATCTCCTTGGCTTTTGCCAGCTGGCCATTGGGGTCGGCCCATCGTTCGCGGAATTGCGGCGCGACGACGTTGAGCGGTGATTGCCATGCTTGGGTCCAGCTCAGGATCTTGACGCCATTGAGTGCATGAGATGCCTCCGGGTCGCCCGCGCGTTGGGCTGTGCCCGTCTGCGCGAGGCGCACCCCCGCCTCGATGGTCTGCTCCGTCCTGTGGTGCAGATCGGCGCGCAGCTCGGGGTCGCTGGCCAGAACCGACTCGGGCATGGCGAGGTCGGGCTCGCGCAGCATGTCGGGGATGAAGAAGGAGTAGCCGGCGAAGTGCTCGTCGGAGCCCTCGCCCGTGAGAACGACCTTGAAGCCATGCTCGCGCGGGAGTTTCGAGAGGCAGAACTTGCCCACCGAGTTGAGGTCCATGTTGTGGTGCTCGCTGTGGTAGGCTGCGTCGGCAAAGTTCTCGGCCAGCGCGGCCTCGTCCATGCGCTGCTTGAGGATCTGAACACCCAGCCAGTTGGCCGTCCTCTCGGCGATGTCTATTCTCATCAGTCAGCGTTGGCGGCTCCTAGCAGGGGAACTCGCGGTTACATACCCGACTCGTTGTGAGCCTGTGAGTCCGGAAACTCGATGCTGAAGCAGGCAATGCGGCTGGTGGCGTCCTGATTGCCCACCTTGGATCCCCTCGTCCCGCACAAGATGCGTCACAATGCCCGCTAGCAGCGACGAATCGATCCCTCCCGACAAGTAGATCCCAATCGGCACATCCGCCCTCAACCGCAGTCGAACCGCCTCAGTCAACCGCTCCCTCACGCCCAGCACCATCTCCTCGACCGACCTCGTCTCCGGCACCCGCTACATCACCCAGACGTCAGTGATCACCACCACCGCGGCCGCTTTCCCAACATCAACACACCGCACAAAAGAACGAACACCTGCACTCACCTTATCCGGATACCCCAAATCCCAATACACCCCCTTCACCATCTTCCCCCCACCCCCAACCTCCACCTCCACCCACCCCCCCGGCACCACCTTCCTCACCCCCTCAAACAACGTCCTTTCCCCGACCTGCCACGCCCCGCTCACAATCGCCTCCCCATCCCACCTCGGCCGCCAGCCCATACCCAAAAACGCCTTCGCCTCCGCCGCCACCAGCAACCTCCCCTCCCAAACCGTCCAAAACAGCGGCTTAATCCCAAACCCGGTCGCGCGCCAGCACGACTTTTCCCGGGCCCGGCCCGCGCGCGTCGTAGAGGACCAGCGAGAACTCGCCGCGTAGGTGGGTGAGGAAGGCGGGCGAGCCGTGGGCGAGGTATAGGGCGAGGACGAGTTCCGTGTCGGTGTGGGAGTGGAAGGCGTAACCGTGCTGGGTGGAGAGCGTGCTGCGCAGGGTGTTGCAGGGGTCGTAGATCTCGCCGTTGATGACGGCGTGGATGTTGTTGCTGGGGGAGTGGTCTGGGGGGTGGGGTTAGAGGTTTGTTTGTTTGAGAGGGGTCAAGTAGTGGGAGGGTTGGGGGTTTGGTGGAGTGGGGAGGGTGTGTGCATTGGGGGATGGGCACTGGGTGATGGGGCGTTGCGTACGGGGTTGGTTGCCGGCGGGGGAGAGGTCGTTGATGGACAGGCGGTTGTGTCCGAGGCCTGGTGAGGAGGGTTGTTAGTTGGTACTCTGTTGGTCGGGGGGTGAGATGGAGGTTTAGTATGTACCAACGGAGGCATCCTCGTTGATCCAGATGCCCTTTGCGTCGGGGCCACGGTGTGCGATCAGGTCAAGGCTGTCACTGAGCTTGGTCTCGAGTTCGGCGCGGGTTTCCGGCGTGCATGGTTGGCGCTGGCGCCGGTCCAGCGCAATGCTCACGGCTATTCCACACATGGTGTTGCGGGCACTGGGGTCGGTTCAGGTTCTTGCACGGGTGGTGGATGAGTTGACATTGATGTCTAAACGCCCTCAGCGTGTGGTTCTCTTCCTTTTGTACTAATATATTACCCCTCACATCTTAAGGACCGCACCGTTTTTCCCAGAATGGGTGCCTAAGCGCCCCTCACATGCCGTCGCTGACATGATCTTCGGTGAATATTCTGTCGCCCAATGAGCACGAATGAATCACTCATCCCCAAACCCCAAACCTCGGACTGCGGTTTTGGCACGCTTATTACACAGTCCACCGATGGGCCAAAAAGCCGAACTCCAAGGATACTTTGGACTAGATGAACGAAAGAAAGCCATTCGGAAACCCAAAGCTGACTTTTCACTACCTAATTCATTTTTCCCAGCTTCCTTTATCCCTTTTGCTTTTCTTGGTTGCTCCCCTTTCGAGTTCGGCTTTTTTTTTTGGCCAGAGGGAGCCAGCGCAATGGCCGCTCGCTTTCGTTAATGTGTTTTGGTGGTGGGGTTTGGTACCAACGAATCCATGCCCGACGTTGTCTTCAGTGGTGTGATGGTGCCAGGCCGATCCCATGTCAAGTGCCGATAGGCGTGAACCGAAGCATGGGACTGTCGCATCGTAGTCAGGAAATGGAGACCGAACCGGGATAACAAGTGAGATCGCGTCACGGAGACATGAGGATGCCTCGGGGTAAGGTCTGGGAACATCATCTTTTAATCTGAAAAGTCTGAGGTTTGGGTATCCAAGTGAATTGGTGTTAATTTCGACGGCGACGACAGAACATCACGACCACCAGTAAACGCGGCTCAGATCAAGCTGTCGACTGCATGGGTTCTGTGATGAGCATGCAAGCTGATCACTGGTTGGTTATAGCAGATTCTCCAAGAACCGGTACTGTTCTATCACAGCTCTCAAAACGGAAACCGGCTCCCATTGGGAGAGCTGTCGGGACGGTATGCTCATATATCCCACTACCACCGCGTCAACATGTCCCCAGGGAGACAGAGGAACGTCGGAGGTACACCAAGTACCTGTGTATATAGGAGTCCCAATCATGAGCCGTTGTATAGTCGACTTATTTGGTGCCATTACCGTCAACTTCTCCCAAGCCACTCATCGGCCGAATCGTGGCTGGATCTCCAAGTTTGCGGGGACAGAAAACGAATAGCGCATGTATATGTTCATAGTTATTGAAGGGGCAGGACAAAGAGGATGGTATTAGAAGCAACTATCCCAAGTTTTATCAACAATACAACAAGGTGGAAGAGAAACAGTCAGGAACCTTCCATTGGCTCTAACCGCTTTTCACCTTCCACCCCCTTTTATTCCTTGGGATTCGAAGGTTGTATCCTTTCTCATGGCTGACAGAACTGAGGCGACAATGGATCCGCCTCGCACATCATCACGTCTACCCAGTCACCGGTATCATAATATCGATTTCGTATTCTGTTGATACTACGTTATACAGGACCTCAGCCTCCTCGCATAGTTTGATGCAGGTCCGAGGTAGCATGGAATGGACAGACGTAGATGCACATCGGCATGCAAGGTGCCATTGGTTGATTGACTCTTTTGACATTCTTGCCATATGTGGCGAGGCCTTAGTAAGAACCCAAATAAACGGCGATCATGCTTCCAACGATACGAGATCGAGGTTCGCCCCTTGCGACCAGAGAGCCGGAGCGAGGGTGCTAATGCATGATAGGAGACCGACAATACGAACCGATGCAACATCGACTTACCCGGATTCTCCCCAGCCACGCCAAACCGGCCTTCTCTGCTGTCGGTGCGGCGGGAAATGGAAACCCGGAAATGGGAACCCACCAAATGTTGACGTTAAATCGAGAAAGGAGTGGATCGGCAATGTGGAGGTTAAAGGTCCATGTCGTCCCCGATCTTTAACACACTCACCCTTCTTCACTCAAACACATCCAGCCATCATCCAACAATAAACCTAAAACCTAAAAGCCCAAACACCCGAACCCTAAATCCGCCGTCATGCGCTTCGCCATTCCGGCTCTTACCCTTGCGGCGGCGGCCTCCGCCCTGCCCACCCAAGCGAGGACAGACTCGACGTCGAAGGGCTTCAACCTCTACGCGCACGTCACCGGCGGCAACAGCGAGCTCGCGCAGTCGGTCGAGGGCCTCTTCGTCTCCACAGCGCACACGGGCGCGGGCCAAAACGCGGCGGTCCTTTCGAGCACGAGCGCCCGGCTCTTTTACCAGAACGGCACGGCGGAGAGCGGCACCAGCAGCATCGTCACCGACGGCGGCAGCCCCGCCTCGATCCCTTTCAGCTTGACGGTGCAGCCGGCGGATGAGGCCCACCGCATCCTCGACATCAGCGTCGGCTACGGCACTCCCAACTTTGTCGGCGAGCAGGGCACCCTCGTCAACGGCCTTGGTGAGGGTACCTATGTCGCCTGCGACGCCGTTATCCCTTACTACCAACAAGTCTTCACCACCCTACAGTTCGTCTACGGCGAGCCAGACCCGGCCACCCTGGAGGCATGCGCCACCATCGAGCTGGTGGCCAAGTGCGCTGAGCTGAACGAGCTGCCGACCGACGGCAGCAGCCTGGGGAGCCACGAGTTTGCGGCGGACGTCAAGTGTGAGGTCTAAGGTGGATAGTTGGGCTTCCATCTTTTGTGTGTAGTTATTTGGGATAGAGTCTACCGCTATAGTATTGAGCTCCTACTCCGTAGCGTGTTTAAATTTTGGGTTATCGCCAAGGTCCATCCCATTTGAGGGGCATTTCTCCCTTCTTTCCTTACTTCCTTTGTCAGCATTACCCCTTCCCTTGTTAAGGCTGCTCAGTTCCTCAATCCCGGATCTTCGTGTTATGCCGTTTACAAACAACATATTTGCATCACAACTTGAGCCTCAGTTTAAGCACAAAAACAGGGAATTGGCCCGCTTGCAGAGGAAGAGGGCTCAGGGGGGTTTCTCTCTCCATCACAGGCCGAAGCTGCGTGCCAAGGCAGCTCCGGAGCCTTCAACCATTCAAATGCAGAACAACCCCTTGGGTGCCTAAATCCATGCATTGGTGATTATTGTTGGGAACGCTATCTGATTCGCTCAAGTCTGCAAACTCAGGCTGCCTCCCCTCGTCTTCTCTTCGGCTACCAAGGACTCATCTAAATCACACATCGCCCAAGTTTCGACTGATCATCAAATAGCTCACACACACCTGCACACAACCACCATGTCATCTTCTCACCCCGAAAACAACCCCGGTAAGCTTGGTGATACCGTGTTCCCAGCGGCCCAGCCCAACCACCTCCACGGGATATCAGGCTCTCTAAACCACCCTACAGACAACGAAAACTCCAACCCCCAGACACCAAATCCCCCAGCAGCCGAGGCCAGCCACCCCAGCGACGACAGTGGCGAGACGCGTCCCAAAGGTGGTCATGGACCCACCAAGGACCAGCTAGAGGCCGCCTGGACAGCTCTGGCAAGGCTGGAAGCCATCGGCGTGATCAAGCCGTTTGTGGTTCGATATCCGAGAATTATCGACGTTGATGGAACGGTTCTCAGCGAGGGAACCATGACTGGGCACGATTCAGGGGTTGAGGCGGCTGTGGGGAGTTTGACGGAGGGCGCCACGCCGTCGGGGGAGTCGGAGTCGAAGGCTGGGAGGGAGGCGAGACTGTGAGTGAGGATGGTGAATAACTCGGGAGATGGAGTGGGAATGCGGGGGTTAGGTCATAACATTTGAGTCATGATTCATGAGTCTGGTTTGTGAGCACACTTGCACCTGGTTACACTTTCGCCGCTGGCATGCCCCTGTATATGAAGAGCAAATCACAAAAGAGGAGAGGAAAAGAGGAAAATGAGAAGAAGCAAGTATACAGAATGAGAACAGGCAGGCCGCAGAGCAGATATTTTTCAAGAACATTTGATTCCTTGATCCGTCACGGGCGAAAAGTAGCAAATCAAGAGGTATTTCCTGGGTATAGTATCCTTTTTGCATCTGCGATTTTGACCAGATCATATGTTCATAACGAAAATTGAGCCATATGGCATCGCTGGCGTGTTGATGGCGCTCATTCGTGAGAAGCGAGGGCGGTGAAACGTTGCTCCGCCCTTGTACATGTACTTCGTACTCCGTGCCTTAAATGGGTCTCAGCCATTCTGAAATGACAGACTTCACTCCAAACATCCTCTCCCATTTTGTTTGAGCACCGGATGCTCTACAACAGCCAACTTTTACTTGCAAGAATTACTGGATGCGTTACATCATCTGGCTAAAAACAGAACACTACAATCCATGAGTACTCGCATCATTTCCCAGTTCGCCACGACGGGGCTCGGGATTCGGCATCTACAGGGCCAGCACCAGCAACCGAATCATAAAATCAACAGGAGCGACGATGACGAGACACATGCAACCGGGCGATCATATCCCATTAAGCTCCCTCACTAGGGTCGGTCTTGGATATGCTTCCAGGCTAGTCACCGTCTCGCCCATCCGAATTTCCAAAACTGACGGCCAGACCAGGACCAAAGTCTGGTTTACCGACAACGCCAGCCCAGCTATCAACATGAGAACTGTGATGGTTGTGCTCGGTGCGGTGCTTTTAACGTGCGGCGCCAGCCCAGAGTTGTCTTTTAACCGGATTCCCGTTCTCAGGAAGTTAGATTGGAAAGCGTTGTCGACGGGAATCATACAGGCTGCCGAGTGCAGTCGATGGTTCTTTACCATTGTGCAAGCTACGAGAGACTTATATCGACGGTGGCCTTGACATACAGAGTGGAGTCAAGAGATGAGAAGTAAAATTGAAGGGATGGGTAAGAAGACGTTCAAGGGATGCGCGTGGACCGGCCGGGTCAGAAAAATTAAACGTCAATACTCAAAAGGTTGGAGCTGGGGGGTTAGAGAGGATGGTCCATCCACCCTTCTAAGGCAAAGCTGACACCAACGCATATACCATGCATGCATCTCTGCCAAAACTTCAAAGGTTGACACCTACTTCTACGTGTCACGGTGTCTCGGTCGGGACAAGAATTGTTTCGTTCTTGACCATTACTGGGTCTTTGAAGTTTCTGCAAGCCTCCTCCAGCCAGGTATTGCCCTGGGGGGCCACATCAACGTCTACCCGGATATGTTACATTGAAAGGGACTACAAAGAGGGACGGTACAATGACTGCCCGGCGTGATAATATATCTTTCTTCTCTCCCACCTTTCATCTCGACCCCACAAGACCCTTGCCGACTTGGCGCTTCGGCAACCAAACAACCCCGGCTTGCTCGGCAATCAAATCAATCGCACAATGCATGGACCCGACAGAGACGCTGATCCTCCCGCCTAAAGGAGGCTGGAATAGGAAGTTGTCAAGTCCCAACTTCCCCGCGTTCGCAATACCTTCCCCTTTTGCTGGGCGATACATCTCCGAGGGTCGCGAAACCCGAATCCATCACACATCAATTGGCAGCGGGAACCCGGGAAGAACATATCTACCTAAAGGTAGGTGGGATTGGAGGTTGGAAGTGGTACATCGGCAAGCTCAAAAGGACCCGCGTCGCGCGCCGTGGGGTCACTGAGGTGAGTGCCCCTTTTCCTTCATCCCCAGCTGGCACCATTATCGCCCGGGGCCATCATCAAAATGGGAATGCTTCGCACAATTGCGGTCGGCGCCGCGTGCCTTACCCAATTCGTGGCTGGGCTCGACGGAGGGATACGGACTTCTATGAAGCAGGTAGGATATTCGATCCATGAATGACCTAAACTACCACCACGTTCCTGACCTCACATAGTTGGACCGTCGTGGCGAAGAATCTGTTCTTGTCAAGAAAGACCTCCAGGACCTATACCCGGCGCGCACCCTGAAGGTGCCGGTCGACCACTTCCACAATGACACCCTCTATGAGCCGCACTCGAACGAGACCTTCCCCCTAAGGTACTGGTTCGACGCCAGCCATTACAAGAAGGGTGGCCCGGTCATCGTTCTGCAGGGCGGTGAAACCAACGGCGCAGGTCGGCTTCCCTTCCTTCAAAAGGGCATCGTCGCCAAGCTGGCTCAGGCCACTCATGGGCTAGGCGTCATCCTGGAGCATCGCTACTACGGGGAGAGCTTTCCCACCCCCGACTTCAGCACCGAGAACCTCCGCTTCCTGACGACGGACCAGGCGCTGGCCGACATGGCCTTCTTTGCCGAGCACGTCGTGTTCGAGGGGCTGGAGCATCTGGACTTGACCTCGGCCAAGAACCCGTACATCGCCTACGGGGGTTCGTATGCTGGTGCATTTGTCGCCTTCCTGCGGAAACTGTATCCGGACGTCTACTGGGGCGCCATCTCGTCGTCCGGCGTTCCCGAGGCTATCTACGACTACTGGCAGTACTACGAGGCAGCTCGCATCTACTCGCCTCATGACTGCATTCTTGCCACGCAGAAGTTGACACACGTGGTCGACAACATCCTCCTCGGGACGACCGATACAGAGTACGTGCAGCGCCTAAAGACCGCCTTTGGGCTGGGAAATGTCACCCGTGACGACGATTTCGCCTTCACCATCTCGTACGGCATCTCCGGTCTGCAGGGCCTTAACTGGGACCCTGCACTGAACGACACTGGGTACGGTTACTACTGCAACAACTTGACCGCCACGACAAACCTCTACCCGGAGCTTACCACCCTCGAGTCCGAGGCCCGGGAGCTCATCGAAGTGGGTGGCTACGGGGAGGAGGCAGACACTCTCACCAACCAGCTCCTCAACTACATCGGCTACGTCAACGTCACGGCGATCCAGAACTGTGTCCAGTCCGGCAAACCCTCCCAAGACGCGTGCTTCACTAGCTATAACTCGACCTACTACCAGCAGGACGACCTCAAGCAGGACTGGCGGTTATGGGCGTACCAATACTGTTTCGAGTAAGTTTCAGTCCCCCAATGCCCTGCACGACCACCCCGACCCCCTTCTAACCAGCCTGCAGATGGGGCTACTTCCAAACCGGTTCCGGCGTGCCCGCAGACCAACTCCCACTGATCTCGCGGCTTATCGACCTCCCCTTCACCTCCATCATCTGCCGCGAAGCCTTCAACATCACCTCCCCACCGCAGATCGAGCGCATCAACAAGCACGGCGGCGTGCACATCAGCTACCCGCGCCTGGCGCACGTCGACGGCGAGCGCGACCCGTGGCGGTACGCCTCGCCGCACCGCATCGGCCTGGCCGAGCGCGAGAGCACCGTCAGCGAGCCGTTTATTTTGATCGAGAATGGTGTGCACCACTGGGATGAGAATGGCTTGTTTCCGAACGAGACGAGGCCGGGCTTGCCGCCGAAGCCGGTGGCGGATGCGCAGGAGCAGGAGGTCCGGTTTGTGAAGGCGTGGTTGAGGGAGTGGAAGGACGAGCATTGTAGGGGAGGGAAATGCTGTCGTGTGTGAATGGGTACTAACCGAGTAGCAGATGCATCCGATGAGGAGGATCTTTGATGATTATGTTGGGATATGTGTGGTGGGGATAATTGAACACATATGCGAGTATCTTGATGGCATGTTTGGAACTTGTGTAAACGAAACATAAGTTCATAAATAAGGGGTATCTACCATTCTAACCGATCATCGCAAACGAGACGCACGTCAAACCGCTCCTCTCCCTTCCAGACCTTACCGCCCGAGTTGCACTTGGCGACGGCCGCCCTCATCTCCACGACCATGCCTACCGGCCCGCTACCAAACACCCGTGTCTGGCCGTGGGCCACGCCGGCAACAAAGTCGCTCACCGCGGCGGCAACATCGGGTCTGTGGTCGGTCCCACTCCGCGTTGATGGCGTGTCCTGGGCCGACTCGATGTCGTCGTCCGATTCGGTCCGCCCCTTGTCGTCCGTCACCCTGACCTCCTTGGACGTCACAGTGAGCGGCTCCGACGTGACAAAGGTCCGGATCCGCAGGTCGTGGGCAGCGCCCAGCCTGCGCAGCTCCTCCATCTCGGGCTCGACCCATTCCAGGTCCTGCCTCCTCTTGACGGCCCATACCAGCTCCAACTTCCGGCCCGGCGCCGGCTTCTCGCGGACCAAGCGCAACAGGACCGGGAGGACGTAGGTAATGCCCGTGCCGCCGGCGACGCAGAGCACGTTGACGTCCTGCGTCAGGCCCTCGGCAATGTTCTCGCCGTACGGCCCCTGCATGATGACCGACGTGGCGAGTGCCGTCCCCGCGGCCGCCTTCTTCACCAGCACGTCGGCAATCTTCTTCGTCTCGCCGCCCTTGGCCCGGAAGATGTACGAGTGCCTCACCCTTCCCAGCGGCATCCGCCATCGGGCAGTGACAGCGGCGTGAACGGGTGGGCTCTGGAAAATGCTTCCCTCGGTGAAGCACAAAAAGAAGTGCTGCCCCAACACTCCACGGCTTCTGCACATGGGTCAAAATCTAAACCTCACCACATCCCCCAGCTCCCCATCCCTCCACAAACTCGCCTTGCCCTCCACCGCCCTGAACCCCCACCTCCCCTCCTCGGACCAATACCCAT